AGCATTTAGGCAACTTGTGTGATTTTTAACCGGTTAACTGCTGCCTGTCAGCAGTCCTTCACAGGTGAGCTACTACTTTGTGCTCCACTGTGGTCAAGCATAAGTTAACATCATTCAGTGCAGGCAGCTGTTGTTACACTAGAATATACTGCTAGGTATCTTGCAGAAAAAAACAGAGCCAGGTCAGCAACCCCTTATTTTATACTTTACTGCTTGACAGCAATCTTTAATTTATTATCAAAATGCTGCTATGATCTAGGCAGCTTTTGTGATATTTAACTGGCTAATCGCTGTCTGTCAGAAATCTGTCTTAGCTGAACCATTATCTTTGATCTTTCTGAGGTTAAGCACCATAGAACATTATCAATTCTTGTATGTGGAGTTAACCCATGTCGTTAGTTGTACTATCATGTAGGGATTTACTTATCCATATCTTTTAACTATTGACAGCACTGGTTTAGCAGTTGTCTTATCTCCCCCCCTCTTGTTACAGCTATTAGTGATATATAATATAGTATCACTTCTATTACTTGGGAATACACTGTTATATTGTAGCTAAACAGTATTGCTTCAGCATTAGTGCTATTATGTATACACTTTTACAGCTTGTATAAGTAGTCACAGAGTTTTACTCGCTGTATAGTCTCCATTTACTCCTGCTGTTCATATTATTTTTCTTTTTTATATTTTAGATTTATTTATTAAAAGTTACTTTTTAATCTACAATCTTCTCAGTAAATCATACACAGGTAGAATGGCATTTGTTTCTTTTTTTGTTTATTCTCTACATTTAAGTAAGATATATGTATCAGGTATTGAATATATCAATATAGTTATAAAGTGTTTTTTTGTTTCAATACCCTAACAACGCAACAACCTTTGGAAAGGTTCTATAACAGACTTAAAATAATATATTCCCAACAAAGGAATCAAAAAGCTGGTAGTGGAATATACAAATTGACACTTCAGAGTAGTCAGTAGAAAACAACAGGGGAATAGATACAAATTAACAGCAGTTTTATAACACTTTATAATATATCCAGTGACTCATGTAGTCTTTATTTTTCAATGCTAACGAGAACACTGGTAAGAAATATGTCACTGCTTGTTTAACTAAATTGTGAAAGCTACCAGACAATGAATATGATAGTTGGAACCCAGTAGTTAGTGTGGATAAGAAATATTACAAAACAATCCTATCAGGTTAACTATGAATTGACTTAGTCAATTGCCACACAAATACTAGAGTAAGATCCAATCCAAATCTACTCCAAAAAAGGGGGAGGGTTGTCTAAACAATAACTTCTGAACAGAGTGTGTAGATAGCACTAGAGAGCGGTAATAAAGTAAAATTAATCTGTAGAAGATCTTTTCTAGAATACAGGAAAATAATACTAGCAGATGAAAAATGAAGAATATACTATAATGAGAGAGAGATTTCCCTAATGGCTGATCCATTCATAGGCTTATTGCAGTCCACTGAACTATTCTTAGATCACAGGTTAGAATGCCAACTCCCTCCATCTTGAAGGGAGGAACTGTTATGCAGCAGACGATGAGATGGTTAAGGGTCAATAAAATAAAATACTCTTGGCCCAAATGAAATCAGCCTTTTGGCAGTTGTTTTTCTTTTCTAATTTTGTATTACTGTATAAATGTGTATTTTCTTTAAGTACTCTGTGTTGATAAGAGAGAAAGACTGCTATCTATGTTCTGCCACTGACACAGCCTAGATGTAATGCAAAACACATTTGGCCTGCAATGATTTAGTTACCTGCAAAGGTAGATTAGATAGCATATAATTTAATCAATTGAAATGTGAGTTTTTAGTTTACTCTTGATTAATGGTGATTAATGGTGATACATTTTAGACACCATAAGAAAAAATACAAATAGTCTTAGCATAAAAGGTAGGATAACGTCATATTACTGAAACAGTGTCACATGATGAAATTACAGCAATGAATAAAAATATCAAGTCTTTAGTTACAAGAGCACATAATATAATGTCAATTATAAAAGCTTTTAAGTCGCATCATGCTAAAGGTGATTATGATAGATTAAATATTTATACAAGCCAGTATGATTTGAGAGTTTTAACTAATGAAACTAGGAACTGGGAGTTACATTCACACATATACCAACGGGATACTATAGGTACCAAAACAATGTTAGCTTGAAATAGCTAATGTTTAAACTTCCTTTATTACACAGCCTGTTTAATTTAGAATGCAGAATCCCCTGCTCTGCTAATATACTGCTCTAGAGCATGCAGGAGCCCCTGTCTGTGATTAAAGTTCAATTTAAAGAGATAAACGCTTCTAAAGTAAGTAAACATCGGATTGAAAATGAAACCATTTTTTTCATGCAGGCTGTGTCAGTCACAGCCAGGGACTAGTTAGGACTGCATAAACAGAAACAAACATTATTTAAGTACCTGTAGTATCCCTTTTAGAAAATCAAGTGGCAGATGAAAATGGTGAGCTTCTTGGCAGTAATGTCGCTATCCCAAGTGATGGTGATTTTGCTTTATCCATGTCCTTTTCTTCAGAATATAATTTAAAAGTAAACTGCAACTTCTCTTAAATGTATACCATTGATTAAAACATAAAAAAATCACTGGTAACTTGTTTTAAACTTTTCCAAATTTCTTTTAAATTTATATAGAAACATAGAATGTGACGGCAAATAAGAATCATTAGACCCATCTAATCTGCCCAGTTTTCTAAATACTTGCATTAGTCCCTGGCCTTATCTTATAGCTAGGATACCCTACGTATGCATGTGTGACATGTCATGATTCCCTTTTATTCCAGAAGTTTGGTCCTTAAGGGGTTAAACTCCTTCACTGTGTTAAACTCTACCAGTTCAGCTGGAAGGCAACTTCATTCACCTACTAACCTCTCAGTAAAGTAATACTTTCTGATATTATTTTCAACCCCTTAAGGACTGGGCCGTCTATTATATGATTAGGACCCTGGGCAATGCATTTTCTTGGGCTCCATGGGCCCTGTCCTTGACACTGCCTCACCCCACAATTACGTCCAACCCGCAATCACACTGACAGACGTACTGGCACATACACACACAGACAGACATTAAAACATTCACAGATACATACTGACACACACAGTCACTACACACAAATATATACTGGCAGACATACTGACACACACACAGACATACATACATACAGGGAGTGCAGAATTATTAGGCAAGTTGTATTTTTGAGGATTAATTTTATTATTGAACAACAACCATGTTCTCAATGAACCCAAAAAACTCATTAATATCAAAGCTGAATATTTTTGGAAGTAGTTTTTAGTTTGTTTTTAGTTATAGCTATGTTAGGGGGATATCTGTGTGTGCAGGTGACTATTACTGTGCATAATTATTAGGCAACTTAACAAAAAACAAATATATACCCATTTCAATTATTTATTATTACCAGTGAAACCAATATAACATCTCAACATTCACAAATATACATTTCTGACATTCAAAAACAAAACAAAAACAAATCAGTGACCAATATAGCCACCTTTCTTTGCAAGGACACTCAAAAGCCTGCCATCCATGGATTCTGTCAGTGTTTTGATCTGTTCACCATCAACATTGCGTGCAGCAGCAACCACAGCCTCCCAGACACTGTTCAGAGAGGTGTACTGTTTTCCCTCCTTGTAAATCTCACATTTGATGATGGACCACAGGTTCTCAATGGGGTTCAGATCAGGTGAACAAGGAGGCCATGTCATTAGATTTTCTTCTTTTATACCCTTTCATGCCAGCCACGCTGTGGAGTACTTGGACGCGTGTGATAGAGCATTGTCCTGCATGAAAATCATGTTTTTCTTGAAGGATGCAGACTTCTTCCTGTACCACTGCTTGAAGAAGGTGTCTTCCAGGAACTGGCAGTAGGACTGGGAGTTGAGCTTGACTCCATCCTCAACCCGAAAAGGCCCCACAAGCTCATCTTTGATGATACCAGCCCAAACCAGTACTCCACCTCCACCTTGCTGGTGTCTGAGTCGGACTGGAGCTCTCTGCCCTTTACCAATCCAGCCACGGGCCCATCCATCTGGCCCATCAAGACTCACTCTCATTTCATCAGTCCATAAAACCTTAGAAAAATCAGTCTTGAGATATTTCTTGGCCCAGTCTTGACGTTTCAGCTTGTGTGTCTTGTTCAGTGGTGGTCGTCTTTCAGCCTTTCTTACCTTGGCCATGTCTCTGAGTATTGCACACCTTGTGCTTTTGGGCACTCCAGTGATGTTGCAGCTCTGAAATATGGCCAAACTGGTGGCAAGTGGCATCGTGGCAGCTGCACGCTTGACTTTTCTCAGTTCATGGGCAGTTATTTTGCGCCTTGGTTTTTCCACACGCTTCTTGCGACCCTGTTGACTATGTTGAATGAAACGCTTGATTGTTCGATGATCACGCTTCAGAAGCTTTGCAATTTTAAGAGTGCTGCATCCCTCTGCAAGACATCTCACTATTTTTGACTTTTCTGAGCCTGTCAAGTCCTTCTTTTGACCCATTTTGCCAAAGGAAAGGAAGTTGCCTAATAATTATACACACCTGATATAGGGTGTTGATGTCATTAGACCACACCCCTTCTCATTACAGAGATGCACATCACCTAATATGCTTAATTGGTAGTAGGCTTTCGAACCTATACAGCTTGGAGTAAGACAACATGCATAAAGAGGATGATGTGGTCAAAATACTCATTTGCCTAATAATTCTGCACTCCCTGTACATACACAGACACATATATTAACAGATATACTGACACACACACAAACACATACACTGACAGATATACTAAAACACACAGACACATACACTGACAGACACATTGACACACACACACAGGCATACTGACATACAAACACACACACACACACACACAGGCATACTGACATATACACAGACAGACGTAATGGCTGATACAGACAGACATTAAAACATTCACAGATATATACTGACACACACATACACTGACATACAAATATATCCTGGCAGACATACTGACACACACACACACACAGACACATACACTGACAGACATACTGACTGACACACACATACACACACAGACATACTTACATACACACACAGACATACTGACACACAAAGACATGCTGACACACACACACAGACATACTGACATACACACAGACAGGCGTACTGGCACATACACACAGACAGACATTAAAACATTCACAGATACATACTGACACACACATACACTGACACACAAATATATCCTGGCAGACATACTGACACACACGTACACACACACACAGAGACATACCTACATACACACACACTGACATACTGGCATACACACAGACATACTGACACACACACACACACACACACACACACACACACACACACACACACACACACACACACACACACACACACACACACACACACACACACACACACACACAGACATACTGGCATACACACAGACATACTGACACACACACACAGACATACTGGCATACACACAGACATACTGACACACACACAGAGACATACTGGCATACACACAGACATCCTGACACACACACACACAGACATACTGGCATACACACAGACATACTGACACACACACACACAGACATACTGGCATACACACAGACATACACACACACACACAGACCTACTGACATACATTTAGCCACCCTCCAGGTTCTTACCTTTTTCTGGAGGGTGGTTTCCCTGGTCCAGTGGCAGGCTGAGGCAGATGGGAGTTCTCCTCTGGAACTCCCCTCCTCCCTCCTCCCGCGCGGCTATCTCCGGTGGGAGGAAGTGACGTCACTTCCTCCCAGCCGGCTGCAGAACCGGAAGAGGGGCCCGGTCGCGCTGTTTAAGCGCCACAGCGCCCGACCAGGCCCCTGCTGACACATGCTCCCCGGGTGGCCCTTAGTGCATGGGCCACCCGGGGAGCCTCCTCAGTGTGCGGGAGCCGCACCGCCCGGTCCACAGGGGCTGCGCAAATCGCGGGGGCCCACAGAGCAGCTGCTCTGGGCCCCCAGGAGCAACTGGGCCCGGGGCAGCTGCCCCGTTTGCCCCGCATTAAAGACGGCCCTGCTTAAGGACCAAACTTCTGGAATAAAAGGGAATCATGACATGTCACACATGTCATGTGTCCTTAAGGGGTTAAACCTTTGCCCCGCTAATTTAAGACTATGTTCTCTTGTTGTGCTAGTTTTTCTTCTTTTAAATATAGTCTCCTCTTTACTGTGTTGATTCCCTTTATGTATTTAAATATTTCTATCATATCCCCCCTGTCTCGACTTTCCTCCAAGCTATACATGTTAAGATCCTTTAACCTTTCCTTGTAAGTTTTATCCTGTTTAGTAGCTCTTCTCTGAACTCTCTCCAAAGTATCAATATCCTTCTGGAGATACGGTCTCCAGTACTGCGTTCAATACTCCAAGTGAGTTCTCACCAGTGTTCTGTACAATGGTATGAGCACTTCCCTCTTTCCACGGCTAATACCTCTCCCTATACGACCAAGCATTTTGCTAGCATTTCCTGCTGCTTTATTACATTGTATGTAATAAAGCATACAATGTCATCTGAAATAAGTACCCCTAAATCCCTTTCCTCGGATGTTGAGGTTAGGACTCTATCAAATATCCTGTACTCTGCCCTTGGGTTTTTACGTCCAAGATGCATTATCTTGCACTTATCCACATTAAATGTCAGCTGTCACAACTCATTTTTCTAGTTTACCTAAATCATTTAAATAGAATGGGTCCAAGTACAGATCCATGAATTACCCCACTGGTAACAAGACCATGCTTTGAAAATACTCCATTGACTACAACCCTCTGTTGCCTGTCACTCAACCACTGCCTTACCCATTCAACAATATTGGAATTGAAACAGTTTATTGATAAGCCTTCTATGTTCAACAGTGAAATCTTGGTGAGCAATGTCTACTGCACCACCCAAAACAACTATTTAAGTTACCCAATCAAAAAAATCAATAAGATTAGTTTGGCATGATCTCCCTGAAGTAAACCCATGTTGTCTCTGATCTTGAAATCCATGTGATTTTAGACGTTCAACAATCCTATCCTTTAACATGGTTTCTATTACTTCCCCCCTACTGAAGTAAGGCTTACTGGCCAATAGTTGCCCGACTCCTCCCTACTACCTTTCTTGTGAATGGGCACAACATTCACTAACTTCCAATCTTCTGGGCAACTCCTGTTAACAATGATTGGTTAAATAAATCTGTTAATGGTTTTGCTAGTATACCACAAAGCTCTTTTAATAACTTTGGGTGTATTCCATTAGGTCCCATTGACTTATTTGTCTTTACTTTTGACAGTTGAAATAAAACCTCTTCCTCTGTAAACTCATGTGTAATAAATTACTAATTTATCCTTTTTCTTAACTGAGGTCCCTTTCCTTAATTTTCATCTGTAAATACAGAACAAAAATATTCATTGAGGCAGTCAGCTAGACCTTTATCCTCTTCTACATACCTTTCTTCTTTTGTTTTTAATCTAACTAATCCTTGTTTTACTTTTCTTTTCTCATTTATGTATCTAAAAAAAGTTTTGTCCCCCTTTTTTACTGACTGTGCTATTTTCTCTTCTGTGTGTGATTTGGAAGCTCTTATAACTTGCTTAGCCTCTTTCTGCCTAATCGTATAGATCTGTCTATCTTCCTCACTCTGTTTTTTTTTTTTTTTTATAATTACCAAATGCTAACTTGTAGTTTTTTTACTATTTTGTCCAAATCTGCGGAGGACCACAGTGGTTTTTTAAATTATTTTGCTTTTACTGACAAGCCTAATGCAATTGTCTGTTGCCTTCAGCAGTGCAACCTTTAAATAATCCCATTTCTCTAACACTCCATTTATACTGCTCCAGTCTGATAATGGCTCCTTTACACATTCTAATTTTAGAAAAGTATTTTTCTAAAGTCTAAAACTTTTGTTTTTGTGTGGTGTGACTCAGTCACTGTTCTTATATTAAACCACACTGACTGATGATCACTTAATCCTAAACTTTCACCTACACTTATATCTGATACCAAATCTCCATTTGTTAACATAAAAAATAGAATGGCCTCTTTACGAGTTGGCTCCTCAACGACTTGTTTTCGAAACAATCCCAGTAGGGAGTTTAGAATATGTGTGCTCCTGGCACAAGTAGCTATTTTAGTTTTCCAGTTCACATCAGTAAACTTAAAGTCACCCATGATGACAACTTCCCCTTCATTGTTATTTTAGCTAGTTTCTCAACTAGTATTATTATTATTATTATTGCCATTTATATAGCGCCAACAGATTCCGTAGCACTTTACAATATTATGAAAGGGGATTTAACTATAAATAGGACAATTACAAATAAACTTACAGGAACAATAGGTTGAAGAGGACCCTGCTCAATCGAGCTTACATTCTATAGGAGGTGGGGTGTAAAACACATTAGGACAGGAATGTGCAATCAAATAAGGTGGGCTGCCCTTTAGGAGAGGGCAAGAGACGGGTATGTGAGGTAGGGGTTAGTCTTGGAGGCCATAAGCTTTCCTAAAGAGATGGGTTTTAAGGCACTTCTTAAAAGATGCAAGACTAGGGGAGAGTCGGATGGCGGTAGGCAGGCTATTCCATAGGAAGGGAGCCGCCCGCGAGAAGTCCTGCAAGCGCGAGTTGGCCGTACGGGTGCGGACAACGGACAGGAGGTGGTCACGGGCAGAGCGGAGAGACCGAGAAGGGACATACCTGTGGATCAGTGAGGAGATATAAGAGGGGCTAGAGTTGTTCAGTGCTTTATAGGTGTGAGTTAGTGCCTTGAATTGACTCCTATAGCACACAGGAAGCCAATGTAAGGACTGGCAGAGGGGTGAGGTGTGAGAGAACCGACTAGAGAGGAAAATCAGTCTAGCAGCAGCATTCATTACAGACTGTAGGGGTGCAGTACGGCTTTTGGGAAGACCAAGCAGGAGAGGGTTACAATAATCCATGCGTGAAATTATTAGAGCATTAGTAGATTATCTAACTGTTCTATTTGTCCTGTGGGCCTATAAATCAAACCTACATGAGTTACAGTGTGATTACTAAATTCTAACATAACCCAAACGGACTATATGTTTGCCTCACTAACTTTTATTAGGCTAGATTGTATGCTATCCTTCACATACAGGGCCACCCTTCCCCTTTCTTGCCTTCCCTGTCTTTTCTATATAAAGATTACCCTAGTGTTGCTATGTCCCAATCATTTTTCTCATTATACCATGTCTCAGTAACAGCGGCTAAATCTACAATATCAGTTGCCATTATTGCCACAAATTCATGGATCTTAATCCCTAAACTGCGAGCATTTGTAGACATGACTCTAAGCTTATCATTTTTTAACACACTTGCTACAGGTAATTTTTTTGTCCTTGTTTTGGGGGGAAATTGTATTTATGTTTTATCACCCGAGGAAGTTTAAATCCACTGAACTGCTCACTAAGAAAATTTTTTCCCTTTTAAGAAAGATGTAAACTATCTTTTTGTACAGTTTATTTCCATTCCATGCAGAGCTACCGTGAGAAATTAATTCAAATCCATTCTCCCGACACCATTCACCAAGCCACAAGTTAAAGTCTCTAATACGCATCCACCTGTCGTTCTGAGTGTTATGCACAGGCAGAACTTCAAAGAATGACAGTGTGGAAGCAACCTGCCGTATATCATTGGCAAAAACACAAAAAAACTTCCTTTACCTCTGTAACCTCATTGCAAGCCTAGTCATTTGTCCCTAGATGGACAAGTACATCCAATTCCCCTTCCTGCTTTGTTCGCTCTGTGAGCAGTAGCTCCAGGAAGACATCTCACAAGGCCACTATTTTCCAGCTCCACACCACCTCTTATGATAGAATCCCTCAACAACTGCTTTCTATCAGGCCTCACTTTTTCCTTTTTGTCACTGGCTGAAATCTTGCACAATTTTGACATAGAGGATGGTGGTTCCACAAACTCAGTGCCTGAGCCTGTCTCCACAACACCACTACACTTGGTGCCTGAGCCTGTCTCCATAACAACACTACACTTGGTGCGTGAGCCTGTCTCTGTAACACCACTACAGTACTATATTAACAATTTAGTAAATTGCATTTTAATCCAGTTTAAACAAGGCAAAGCCAGGACAAACATTGCATATGAAGAGTAGAATCAGAAATCTTATTTTGTTTCCACTATTCTCTGTAGGAAATATCTATGCTAAAGGACAGATTCCATGTACAGGGAAACGAGGTGTGGCTCTTACAAACTCATAATTTAAAAAAAAAATATATGGATAAGTAAACATATTATTAATAATAGTTTACAAAGACTGTTCTTCTTTAACCCATTAAGGATGGATGCAATTGTACACGTACTGATCAAAACAAAATGTAAACAAAAACTGGGATTTGTGCTATGTCTGTTCAACCGTATTTCACCTCTTTCATATTAAATACACCCACACTTATTATATATAATTGTATTCAGGAGAAACAGGGCTTTCATTTAACATCACCTATTCATGTGCATACCATAACTGATTATGAATAAAATAATAAAGTGTGAAATATTGAGATTTTTATTTTTCATTTTTTTTAATTCTCATGTCATTTTAACTGTGAATGTCATAATACTGTCACTGTTTACTGCAATTAATACACATATTTGTATCCAGCAATGTCCCACGTGTACACTACCCCCCCATGTGCAGGTTTTATGGTGTTTTGGAAAGTTACAGGGTCAAATACTGTTTGACTTTTATTACGTTTGAGAGTTATCGTACCTGAACCCACTTGGTTCGGCTCCCGAATGGGGTCTCCCTCTGTACCTCATTAGAACACTGGCACATCAATTAACCCATACATGTGAAACCACAAAGTAAACAATTAATGAGTGCTTCCCTTGGGTGTCTCCTGAACACAGGTAGCGGGACAAGGTCGTCTAATGCCTGGAACTAATGCCTGGGGAAACTGCTCCGTGCTCCAAAAAGCTAGGAGAGCACTCTTTGAGAGAAAGAGACCATCAACCAGGGGGAGCATTCGATCCCTGGAAGCAAAGGAATATCTTTAAAGGTGTTCGTACAGGAACCCCCAAATTTAGACCACCCATTGTACCACTTTCTGTAGAACTGTTTTGGGCTTCAACCTCGAGGCCGTATGGTCTCCTGGTGGAGATTCTATTCTACCAAACGTATCTGAGTGTTATATGGCCAACTTGGGTGCTCGGATCCGGGCTATCTGGGGATATGACACTTGTGGTGCTCGTGTAGATATTGGGGATACTTTTGATGGATTGTATATATATTTTGTATGTTTCCCTGTAACTGTGGTTTGCTATATGCCTGTATGGAGACCCCATGCTAGGGGTCTGTGTATAAATTGAGCATGTTGTGCCTGAATAAACCAGATGACTCCCAGAACTATGTCTCACCTAGTTACGGGGGGAATACAAGATTAATCACATAAGTTTCCAGTCTGGCCGAGAGGGAAAATAGCGAGGTAACCAGTTGGGTTATCCGGAGTCCACTACAAGCATTTTCTATTTTTCAGTTTATACACATTGAAATTTGCTAGATTGGTAATGTTGCCAAATTTAGCATTCATATTTGTTTGTGTGTGAAAAATACATAGAACAAATATGAATGCTAACTTTGGTCAGTGTTTGTGACTAAGTGGCTACTAAAAAGACTGGGAATACCCTATATTGAATACCCTGGGTTGTCTACTTTTGCAAATGGTATGCAATCATGGGGGTAATTCTCATTCCTGGGCTGCGATAGTGTCTGCGATAGTGTCTCAAAGGCAACGTAACAATCTGGCAAATTTCAATGGGAAAAAACTGAAATGGGCAAGCCTTATAATTTACCATGTAACTTTCTAAAACACCAAAACCTGTACATGGGGGTACTGTTATAATTGGGAGACTTCACTGAACACAAATATTAGCTTTTCAAAACAGTAGAACATATCACAACAATGATGTCAGTGAAAGTGCCGTTTGTGTGTAAAAAATGCAAAAAACTTCACTTATCACTTATTGTCAGTGGAAAATCCGTGCATCTTTTGATATCAAGCCAAGATCAGGTAGATTAAGAAAGATTTCAGCCAATACTTCCAGAAGAATTATTTGGGATACAAAGAAAAACTCACAGGTAACCTCAAGAGAAATACAGGATGCTCTGTAAAAAGGCAGTGTGGTTGTTTCAAGGAGCACAATACGACAATACTTGGACAGTTGCCAGATGCCACAAAAAAGCTCGGTTACAATATGCCCGAAAACACCTTGACACGCCTCACAGCTTCTGGCACACTGTAATTTAGAGTGATGGGACAAAATTAAAGCTATGTTTGGAGGATGATCAACAAGGCCTATAGTGAAAAGAATACCATCCCCACTGTGAAGCATGGTAGTGGCTCACTGATGTTTTGAGGTGTGTGAGCTCTATAGGCATTGGAAATCTTGTGAAAATTGATGGCAAGATGAATGCAGCATGTTGTCAGAAAATACTGGCAGACAATTTGCATTCTTCTGCATGAAGGCTGCGCATGAAATGGTGTTGGACTTTCCAGAATGAAAATGACCCCAAGCACAAGGCCAGGGTTACAGCAGAAAAAGGTGAAGGTTCTGAAATTGCCATCACAGTTTCCTGACCTTAATATTATCGAGCCACTCTGGGGAGATTTCAAACATGTGGTTAATGCAAGACAACCAAAGACTTTGCATGACCTGAAGGCATTTTTCCAAGATAAATGTGCAGCTATACCACCTGCAAGAATTATGGGCCTCATAGACAAATATTACAAAAGACTGCACGCTGTCATTGATGCTAAAGGAGGCAATACACAGTATTAAGAACTAAGTGTATGGAGACTTTTGAACAAGGGTCATTTACATTTTTTTGTTGCCAGATTTTGTTTTATGATTGTGCCATTCGGTTATAACAGTTAAGTATGAATCCCATAAGAAATAAAATAAATGTGTTTAGCCTGTTCACTCATGTTTTCTTTAAAAATGGAACAGATATTACAAATTCTCCAAGGGTATGCAAACTTTTGAGCACAATTGTATATCTCATAAATATGCATATATAATTATTTTTTGCTTTGGTAATCATTATTTATTTTATTATTTTCAGCAGCAGGGGGGCTGCCTGAAACTCCAGGGAGACTGCCTGTCAGGGCGATCACATGGCCTGTTTGGGCCTGATTTGCCAAGAGGGGACTGCTGGGAGCAATGCGGTAAGTGAAAAGGACAGCAGGGACAATCTATAGCGCACTCCAGCATTTAGGCCCGGCTCCTTAAGGACGGCATAGAAAGCCTGCCGTCCTTAAGGGGTTAATGAAGAGTGAAATAATTTTTCTCCAATGTGTTTTATTTTTCAATTTTCATTATTCATGTAATCAACATAAAATAAGGGGGGTACAGAAGGAAGAAGGGGAGGACAGCAGTACACACATTGCAACAATCTGTACATATGCGTCATTAATCAGTTTGTAAACAGCTTTAGATATTAGTAACAGTTTGGCTATTTGTCCTTTGTATTTCGTAGCAGTGATAATCTGTACAGTTTTTTACCTGTTCATATTCTCTGGCGCTAGCTTGGTACCTTTTGTCCTAACTGGGTAGAGGGTGAGAGGGGGAGGGAGGGAGGAGGAGGGGACAGCGTCGGTATCCTATTCCAGCTGGTAACATCTTGTTGATTTGTATTGCACTAGATATCCCTTCTTATTAGGTAACCTTGGTGTTGTAATGTGTAGCCCATAGCCCCTATTGTGTCTCACCGTACCCATAGTCCACCCATCTATGCCACCTCGTCTCATGTTTGCTTTGTCTATCATTTAGTCGACTTGCCATGTGTTCATATGTATATGTCGAATCTATTCTGCCCAAAATCTCTGGTAGAGTGTGTGCCTGTGTGGTCTTCCACCTGTGGGCAATTGCAGTTTTGGTTGCCATTAAGCAGTGGATTGCTAGGTAGATCTTAAGGGTGTCTGGGAAGATGAGTAATATAAAGCATTCTGGTTTCAGTGGTACTCTGATCCCTAGGTTTTTGCATAGAAGTGTTTGCATGTCCTGCCATAATGTAGTGATCTTCGGGCATGTCCAAAATATGTGATAGAGGGTCCCCTCTAGGTTTAGGCATCTCCAACATAACTTGTTTGTCCCTGGGTATATGTGAGCCAGTTTGGTAGGGACTAGGTACCAACGCATGGTTAATTTGCAGAACGTTTCACACTGGGTAAGGCTATGGGAGGCCTGTTTTGTTTTCTTTTGAGCGTGATGCCATGTTGCTGTTGGAAATTGCTTCCCCATATCTGTTTCCCATTTTGTCATGTACAGGGGTTTTGCTATTTTATTTTGGAGTTGAAGTGTGTTATAACAGAGGGACATTGCTTTAATTTTTGGTACTTTCCCCATACATTTGTGGCTAAATGGTGGTAAGAGACTGGTTCCCTCAAGCTAAGCCTGCACTCCTGTATTATGTTCCTTATTCTTAGGTAAGAGAATATTTCTCGAGGCGGGATGTGATATTCCCTGGTTATGTCCGGGAATGGTTTGATACCCTCTGGAGTCAATAAGGAGCGTACGTGATAGACCCCTTGTCTTAGCCAGTTATCTAACTGCAGATTTGTCGTTCGGGCAGCCAGGGCCTGAAGTGGCGCTGCAAGGAGTAGGTCATTTTCTTGCTTCCACGTTTGGAGCAGCGTTTCCGTGACTGGTAGCAAGGTTTTGGACTTGGGGAGTTTTGTACCTGCCCAAAGGGTCAGTGGGATCGTGCCAATGGGTAAGCATGCATTCTCTAACGCTAGCCATACTGGAGGAGATGACCGCTCAAGGATCGTGAGATCTTGTGCCAATATTGAAGCTTTGTAGTACAGTTTTATGTTGGGTATGCCCAATCCTCATTTTGTGAATGGTCGCCATAATGAGTTTTGTAGTATTCTTGGGGGTTTCCGTTTCCAAATGTGTGCGTTAATAGCCTGAAAGTTCTTTAGTATGGGGTTTGGAATTGTAATGGGCAGGGTGCGGAATAAGTATAGGATATGTGGTAATATCATCATTTTTATGATCCCAATTGTTGTTCTAATCTGTGAATGAGCGGTATATGGTTTTCCCGTATTATCGCCGATTGCGATGCTGGCAGTTTTATGCCCAGATATGAAATAGAGGTTTTCCGCCAATCGAAGGGGTACAGTGTTTTCAGGTGTGTTAGAGAGTAGGTGTCAGCCCTATCGCCAGCGCTTGCGTTTTTTTGGCGTTGTTCTTATAATAAGACATCTTCCCGTATCTCTCCAATAAAGCTAGCAAGTTTGGTAAGAACGTCTCCGGGTATGTTAAAAATAGGAGAACATCATCTGCGAGGAGGGCTATTTTTTGGTCCCCTAGTGGCGTTGCTAGGCCCCCTATATTTTGTTCATTTTTAATATGTCTGATTAGGGCTTCCATGCACAAAATAAAGATTGATGGAGAAAGGGGGCACCCCTGCCTGGTACCATTTGTTATTTGTAAAGGCTGTGATAAAAACCCGGAATTAAATATTTTGGCTGCCGGTCTGGAGTATAGGACCAATATGCATTTCAAGAATTCTGGAGGGATAGCCATGGATGTCAATACAGCCCACATGTATGTCCAATTTATGCGATCAAACGCTAGTAGTATACCTTTTTGGTTAGTATTCTGGGCCCATGTGATTAGATTCAAAAAGTGGCGTGTGTTATCCCCTAGTTGCCTGTTCGGAAGAAATCCTGCCTGTTCTGGAGAGACCAAGTTTTGTAAAATAGGTTGTAGGCGTGTAGCTAGTAGCTTGGCATATAGTTTTGTGTCTGCAATTAGCAATGAAATGGGCATCAGATTGGCACAGTCGGTGAGTGGTTTGCCTGGCTTAGGGAGCATAACAATATGGGCTAGCAGCATCTCCTCCGGTATGGATCCTGATTCCCTGAAGAAGTTAAAAAGATCTGCAAGGTACGGTGTTAGCTGTGCCTCGAATGTGGAGTAAAAGTGATTGGGGAACCCATCCGGGACTGGGGCTTTGTGTTTGGGTAATTTGTGTATTGCATTTTGTACTTTGTCTTCTGTGAATTTAGCTGTCAATATTGAGCTTTGGTGGCAGGTTCGCCTCTTTCGGAAAGATATCTATTTCTGACTCTAGTGGCTTGTGCAGTGTTTTGTCTTGTGTGAGATTATATAGTCCATTATAGAAGTTCGCCAATTCGTCCACTATGTCTTGTGGGTTAAATAATTTTGTCCCTGTGGCTGATGTCATATATGGGAGTTTTGATTGTATATATCGGGATTTTAAGCGTCTTGCGAGCACTTTGCCCACCTTGTTCCCTTGCATGTAGTAGGAGAGTTTCAGTTTGCGTAGCTGCCTTTCCATAGTTATTAGGGACAGTGCATGTAGCTTTTCTCTTGTCTTTTCAATTTTTTGGGATAGCAATCTAGTTGGTCTTAGTTTGTTGTCCCTGTCTAGTGTTTTAAGTTGTGAGAGCAGTTTGTCTATTTCGTTGTAAGCCTTCTGTTTATTTATCGACCCTGCTTGGATTAAAAGGCCTCGCAATGCAGCTTTGAGGGCCAACCATTTAGTGTCTATGCGTGAGGGATCTGTCTGGTGGTTCTCATAAAACGACTTTATGTTTATGCGTATTTTGGTGGC